GGGCGGGAGGAACCGCCTGGTCCCGCGGCGCCCTCGGAGGCTTCCGAGGCGGGAGCGGGGTACAGCGGTGCGCTGCGCGGCGAGCAGTTATTTAGAAGGGAGCGTTATTTGTGCGCGGGGGGATCGGCCTTCACCGGCCTTCATTGTGCGAGTCGGTGTGCGGAGCTGCGAGCTTTGTTCTCGGCTTTACAGACAGGCTCTGGGGTTTTTTCATCTGCTGGGGTTTTTTTGTGGGTTTTTCTTTTTTTGAGGGGGGTGAGGGTTAGGTGTGAGACGACCCAGAGCCTGGCACGTAGCTGAGATAGCCCCTTTCAGCAGTTAGTTGTAGCTGTAGATTGAGGCAGTAATACTGGGTGCTTACATAGTGAGGTCGTCCGTACCGGTGTATCAGGTCGTAGGTGTCTCCCTTGCTCTAACTTTTTAGATGAAGGGAGTCATAATTCGAGCAGAAGGAGGGCATGTATCTTACCCTGACTTACCGCATGACCTTGGCTGGATCCGAGGTTAAGCCAAGATTTAAATGCGAAGTAGTGCTTGTATGAAGACTTCCCAGCCTCTTGTAAGGCCCTAGATATACTTGCTGGAGGAAAACCAGAGAAAATGCTTCCATACATTTTTCAGGTACATTTTAGTCTTGATCTGGATGATCTAATCTGTTACTAATTCTTAATGGGCTTACCTAGTGACCCTTTATGTTAAGAGTTGCATGTATATAGTAGGTATTCTTTACAAAGAAAATGGTATTTTTTTGTTCTCACAATTGGTTGAAAGCAGCATTTGCAGCAAGCCGCCATGTTTCCAGTGTATGCTATTTTTGTCTAGCCTGTGCTTTCACAGCCAGGACTGACAGCTTTAGGAAATGTGGACGCTGCTATCAAGCTCTGAAAGCTAATGCTTCCAGGTGCCATAAATCAAACGTGGTGTGTGTTGGATTGTTTTTAGCTAACAAGACTTTTTAGACTGGTGTCATAAAGAGAAGGGAGTGCAGAGGCTGACAGGCAAAAACTGCATTTCAAACCTTTTCTGAAATCTTCTCTTTGACCAAGTTTTCACTTTTCTTATTCTCTCTCTCTGTAAAGAATAAGCCTAATGATTTTGCTAAAAAGATAGTTCTGTGATACTTCCGTGATACTTCCGTGATACTGGTGGTAGGATGTTCACATCCTGTGAACTGAGCTCACCTTTTCCTGGGGTGTTTCAGTCAGTATACTTCATGTTGTGAAGTTGTGAGTGTAGCTTTAAAAAAAAAAAAAAAGCTTAGTGGATGGAACATACAGCTAAATTGAACGCTAGCTGTAAGTATTTACATGCTTAAGGTCTTATATCCTAATAGTCACAGAGCATCTTTGTGATGAAGATCTCCCAACTTTTTTGATAGCATCACATGTTCCAGGGACTAGTTTGCCTGAAAGGCAGTGTTAAAACATGCTAGAAAGTGTAATTGTACAAAATTTGTTAGAAAAAGAATCAAATCAACATTGGAACCTTTGCAAATGTGTATCTTATTTTTAAGTGTAAATCTTCTTTTAAAATCTTCTTTTTAAAAGGATCTTGTATACATCGGGTGCTAAATAGTGGTCTCCAGTTCTTGATGTGTGCGAATTGGGCAACTACCTTTTTTTTGCTAGGTTGTATTCTTTTAAGTGTGAACTCCTTAAGTTGAAGGCTGGAAAACACAAAGCTAAGGTAGAAGGCCTGGTGGACAAGATGTCCTTTGTGTATGTGGGTCAAGTGTAAACATCAGGATTTTCTGTAGGGATTCTTTGCATTTGCAGTCGAAGAAGCAACAAAAACATTCATGACTTGTTTGTACTGTAGTTATGAGACCACTGCTCTACTGTTCATTTTGTTGCTGGCACAACAGCATCAATAGAGTTCACAACAGATGATACTCGAAGTTTGAACATCTTAATTCTAAATATGAAATCTTTATGCACCTAATGAAACAGCCAGCTCTTTGTTGGTTCAGAAAGTTAGTGTTTTCTTTTTTGCCTTGCAAATTGTAAAGTGAACATATACAGAGGAACACTTTTTAATGAAAGTAAATTAAAGCAAAGATGGTGTTACTGTAAGTGCATATTGATACTTCTGTTCATAACAGTAGTACCTGTTGAGAGAGCACTCAAAGGTTAGCATAAATGGCTTGTTTGAGGAGTTAGAAAACATTTGAATTGATTATTCTAGTTTTTAGTACTAGAAACTGGGCCTTTTTGTCCAGCTAAGTAACATGATGAAGAATCAAAGAGGAAATCAAAGTAGAACAGGGCTCTGGGAGTGCTAGTTGTGATGCTGGCTGTAGTCTGCTGTACTTGAAACAAACCAAAGGTGAAAGTGATAGTTTTGTCTAGAAGACTCGATACTTTTTTTTACAGGTGCCTATGTAAAATCTCCAGAGTTGAAGTGCTTATTAACTTCTTGCTGAAACTGCTAATAGACTTGATAATCTTCAGCTATCTCGTTGAGTAATTAAAAAAAAAAAAAAAGAAAAAAAACTTAAAGCCTGATCTTCAGCTACTCCAAAAGAATCCCTTAAACTTCTAAAACTTTGCAGGCAGTGAATATTATACTGGTCTGAGCTCCTAGTTTTGCTATATTAAGTCTGGACCTCTTCCAGAATGACATAGCTGGTGGAGTACTGCTTTCAGAGCTAGAAGATTGTGAGCTGTCAGTTACGTACAAATAATCTGTTATGAACCTGATTCCTTGCTGAGGCAAATATGAAATACTGCATTCTAAAATGCTGGTGGCCATCTTCCATTTTTCTTGTGCATTGCCCTGTACGGTTTCTCATTTCACTTAGGACTGCTATTAGGCTGACTTTGTTTTTAAGTTTCTAACAATGTAACAGTGCCATGATGGACCACTCTTAAGCGCTAGGATCCAGGTTAAGAGTCTTCTGTGGCTAAAATGGGTAGAGGTGAGAGTTGACTCTCTTTACAGGTATCTGTTGCTTGACATGCAGAAAATATTTTGTTAAATCTTAATCCTGATGATTTTAATCACAGTGGGAGCGAGCTTGAATTTCACTGTAATGTCTGTGTAGCGACGTGTTCTAATCTGTTCTTCTGACTGCTTATGTGTAACTCTTGCTTTTTACTTTAAGAAGCTGCGGTGGAGCCAAATGGAAAAATTGCAGACCTAAGAGAAGACGACTGGACCTGCTGCCAACTTCATCGAGTTGTTGGAGCAGCTCTTGAATGTCAAAACAAAACCTGTTCTAATGGCAAAATCATAGGGTCTGAGTAGCTACTTTATCATGAAGCAGTCTGGAGAGCCATATAGGCATAAAGCTGACTTATTTTTCACTAAAAAAATGAGTAAACAAACCATTCAGACTAGCACTATCCTACTACCCTTTAGGATGAAATTTGCATAGTTAAAAATGTAATTTACAGAAAAACATTACTTCTAATTGTAGGGTAAACAAGGTTGGAATAGGTCCAGTTAGAAATGAGAAAGCCCTTCACCCAGGTATAGGAGAAAGTCTGATTTATGATTATTAAAAAACGTGTAGGAATATTTCTGTGAATTCTCAAGGCTTTGAGTTTTGAGAGAAAGATTTTCAAGAGGAGTTAGCTTTGTACTTCTGCCAAATCACAAGGGCCAGGTTTTTTTCTGTAATGCTAAATGCAACATAGTGCTCTTTTTGTGATGATATGAAGTGTTACTAGTTCAGGGCAGATCACCTTAGCTTTAATGTTACAGCAGGTCCCTCTACAGCAGCCTTGCTTAACTTTTTTTTCAGTGGCAAGATTATTTCCAGCTTTTCTCTCTCAAACTGAAGCAGGATATGAGCAGCTCCCAGAACTGTTCTAGTATAAAAAGGAGAGGGGATGAGGCATGTTCCATTCATTTTAGAGCTGTTTACCTAACATACCTGGTTACAGCTTCTCAGCAATTGAGAACTATACTGCTGGAAATGCACAAAGGAATTAAAAGGAATTCGTGCATGTACAGACTATTGTGACTGTCTTGGGGGCAGCTGTTGTTGGAGGGTGATCAAATTGTCTATATGTGCTTTAAAAATAAAAATATTGACTGACCTGTATGGGAAGACCTATTGCAAGTGAAGTTGTCTCATGAAAAATCCCCAAATAGTGATTGAGCTTCAGGTTGTACTTCTGAGACTGTGTACCAGTCTGTTTTTAATGGCAGAGTCCTGCCACAGGAGGAATTTAGCAAAGCAGCTATCAACCCAGGGCTCCCTTCTTGCCTTTTGGGCATCCAAAAGTACCAGAGATTAAGATGTCTAATTTGGTGCTTCATTTTTTTTGTTTGTTTGTTTTCAGGCAATAAAGCTTAGGTAGTAGCAACGTCTATTTGTGTGTTTAGTTCTAGAGCTTCCACCTTGCCTACTCTGTATCTCCTTTGTGTAATGAGTAGGAAACTTCTGGTAACTTGTTGAGAGATGCAAAGCCATATTGGGACATCTGAGAACAGAAGACAAACACTTCACTTTCCCTATCATAATTCTATAGTGTAAATTATTGAAACAAAAGTAAGTAATAAACTGCTTGTGAAACTCAGTGTGCTGATCTGTTTGTAACATAAGAAATAACTTAGGTACGTATCTTCTAAGTTTGAGTAGTTTTCTCCGGTGACACGGTAGAGCAGAACTTTCCGAAAAGTAATGCTGAATGCCTTAGCTGCAGTCTAAAGGGGAACTCCAGATATTTGGCTGCTGAAAGGTGACCCTTGCTGGGTCATGGGCATAGGGCAGCTGTTACAAATATTAACTTACAATAAAACCTGTTTCTTGCTGCTAATTGTAAGCAAGGACTCAAATGCTTATGCTGCTTCTGCAGAAATGCTATCCTCCCTCTCTTTGTATCACTAGTTTTTGTGTTGCTGAATAGAAGTGATGATTGTGTGATACAAAGTAGAAATTTGGAAACCAGTTGAGACAGCTTTAAAAAGGAAGAAAAAAAAAAAAACCCAAACCCTGACAAAAAAAACCCTAAACCCACACCAAAACAGACCTGGCACTTAGGGAAGGCAAAGTGTTTTGAGGGAAGAATCCAAGAAAGACAGTTGGTGAGAAACTCTTGTGATACCACTTACCTTTAATACAATACCAAGCTTTTAAGATTCTTTTTTTCTCCCATTTTAAATGGGACCTAATTTGCTGTTTGTCTTTGGACAGTAGGTGGACCTTCATGCTCCTAACTACAGGAATAGTATCTAGTATCTTTTTCCTTCTCCAGATGAACATTCGTTACTGTACCGGTATAGATGCTGGTCTCAACTAGCTTAACTTACGCTTTAGGTAGTTGTCTTTGTATTTTGTTTCTCTGCTTTTAAGCTTAATGCTCTAGAAATTGTATTTCTCTGAAATGGTCACTGTTCTTTTAGATTCTGAATAATAGCACTAGAAATCTTCCCTTCGTCTTTCTTGCTTGACAGAGCTGAACAATACAAGAAACACTGGATTTTGTCTACAAACTGGCAGACTCCATCATATCCATCAACTTGTGGATCACGCTT